AGAAGAAACTTTTCTTCTTTTTCTTCAATTTGCCTAACTTTTTTTTCAACCACATCTATTCTACCTTCCATAGCATCGAATTTGGTTTCTATTATGCAGGCAATTTCTCTTTTCATTTCGTATTGACTTTCTTCAGTCTTTACTTGTACGGCTTTTATTTCGTCCTTAAAAGTTAAGTGACCAGCTTGAATGCCTTCATCTCTTCCTTAACGGATTCTTGGCCCAATATCATCTCGCCTTTAATTTCTTCTGTAACGGAGTTGACGGCTCCTTCCATCTTTTCTTGGAAAGCAGCAAATGCAATCATAATTTTCCTGAATTGTTCTTCCATCGCTCTTTTTATTGGCATTCAAATCCCACTTCTGACACCAAAAATTGTTGCGTGCGTACGGGTTCGTTATGAAATGAATGCACAAGTCCGATGAAAAAATGAACAAAAATTTATTATTATCACAACAACAAAATGCTTAAATTTTCTCAAATTATCATGCAGTATTACAATATCTCACAGTAGTTATCTTTTAACTACTCAAATGTCCAATAGAACGTAATTCAAAACAGCTAAAGAACGCTAATCCGCGAATTCGCTACAATCAACAAGAGCAGTTTTCTAAACAACAACAAACTAAGCAACTACTACAAACTGAGATGTTTTCCTCCTTTTATAAGATTTTAAAATCACGCGCTAGAATTTTCCAGTACTTTCTAGAAATCAAAAAGAGATATTTATTTATTTAATGCACGCGCTCTTGTATTTTCAATTTTCCGGCTTAGCTTTCTTTTAATATTCGTCACGCGCTGCACTGCGCGAGAAATAAAACCATTTAATTTATAATTGAACTAACATTAGCTTTTTAAATACCAAATTCGTAACAATATTAAAATGCGTAACGTGTGGGTATATAAAATATGTTGAAGGGGATTAGCATAATATGCATTCTGTTTGCTGAAAACCATTTTAAAAACATTATTCCAACACTTAGACTATTTTTTATAACAAGAATATGTATTATTTATTTATATACAACTATACTATTCTTAAGCAAACGTAAGATTTTGTTAAAATTTGTAATTGAATTTTTGGAAATCAGTATTAGCATCTGAAATAAAAAATACCGGTAAACATTTCGAATCACTGTGAGAAGCAGTATTTGTTTTTGTGTGCGATGAATCCAAACATTTAGGAGTTTTTAGAATATGTATGCCTTTTAAAAGCAGTGCTATAAATTTTTAAACAAATGTAGAATACTTAAATACACATTTTTAATTACATCATGTTAGTGTAACTAATTTATTATTTTACTTATTATCTAGAGAATTTTAAGTTTATATATCTCTCTTTTGTTCAAATTTTGTATGTGCATATATTCTAGTAAAAATGCTGTGACTGAAACAAAGTATTAAAAACGCTATACACATTTAGCATTCTTTCAATAAACAGTTAAAAGTATTCGCACTCAAATGTTTTTAATTTGTTAATGCAACAAATCAAGCAATAATGCAGAAACATTTTATTTTTCTAACGTAACTGAAAATAACAACATCGGGAAAAAGAGAGGAGGAGAGTGCAACAGAGCATACGAAACTTTATCTACAATATGTAATCTCAGAGCAAAAGAAAAATAAGAGAGAAGAAAACACTATTAACAAAGTTGATTGTCTCCCAAACACAAAGAAAACATCTGGGGAATTCTATCAAGATTAAATTCTTCGGTGATAGTCTTTTCTTTATCGCATTTGTTTTTAAATGGATTAATGACTTAAAAGATAAAAATAATTTGAAAAATTTCAGGTTCAAAAATCAACATTTTCAAAGCAAAGTCATCTTGTAATCAAAACTGTTGCGAACTTTAAGTCGGGCGAAACTGTTATCCTGGGAAAAGTCGACTTCGCATTCAATTCAAGTTCTAGATTAAAAGATAAGTTCGTAAATGGGAAAAAATATGATAGGAATCTATATTTTTGTTCCTTCAAATTACAATTGAGTTTAATTAAAAAATTTTAGATGCCTTAAAGGATTATCATAACAACATTGGAAACTGATATTTTATAAAATATTTTTGTTTCTCGGGTACTAAGAGAACATAGCATAAAAGCTGTTTTAATTCCTTTCTCATAAGCTAACGTAAGAGTACAAAAAATGGAACAGTTATATAGAAAATAGTTATTTGTATATAGCCATACTTAAATAAAACGGAGTTTGTTAAAAATGAAAATAGCAACTGAGCGTCAAAAGAACACTTGGTGTAAACTAGCGGAGGATATATTTTTACGTTACTTGCAGCTTAATGAGAAATTAGGAATAAAAAAAGACTACTGAGTAAAAATTTGCTTGACTTCGTGCTATCGATTTCTTTCAGAGTTGTTCTCTTCACATTCTTCTACGTTGTATAAAAATATCTCTTACAGAAAAGGCTTTACTATTTTCAATAATTTAAAAAGACTGCGACCTCTTAATATACTTTTTACCCCGAGGTAACATAAATGAAAGGAAATTTTTCATAAAATTAAATGACGCTTAGGCTCTGTTAGCTAAATAAATCTCATTTAAAAAAGTGGAAAGAGTGAACTCCAAATATTTGAAAGAGAAAGAACAGCAAATGGATTCTTTTTCAATATATTAAGGGGAGGGTTGGAGTCTGAAATGGATTTAGAAGTATTTCTCTAGAAGATTGCTCATTCCTATTCTTTTGCAATATGAATTTCTCAAATACAAACCCGCAACGGAAACTGCTCAAATTGTTTCCGATGGACGTAAAAATAAAAAGATGAATCAAGGAGAGGAATTTGCACCTGAAATAGAGCAATCATACTGAAGTAAGAATAGCAAGAAGAAAAATAAAAATAATACATAAATATATAAATATAATAAAAAAGAAATAAGAGCAAAAAATGTCGAATTTTCTTCCCAGAAGTGACATCTAGAATCGATCAAACTTTCTCCTGGAATGCATAGTGAAATTGGGACAGAGAAAAAGAAGAAAAAATATTCTCGTTTCACCTAGCATTCAGAAAAACGTCGTAGAAATATACAAGAGGAGGTTAAAAATAAATAAATAAAATCTTTAAAATCGAGAGAACTATTTTTAAGAGAAGGACAATGAATGCAAAATCTCCCTTAAAGATGGAGGATCGAGAAGAATACTCGCTTGATTTTTCCCTTGAAAGGAGAAGAGAAAGACTGGAGACATGCGAAAAGGAGGTACACTGGAAAATTACTTCCTGTGAACAGAGCATAGAACATAAGTAAAGGGAAAGCATTCTTTTCCCCATCCCTCCCTGATGCAAAAATCCCACACAAAGATGTGAGGAAAATGGAAATGAAAGAAAGATGAACAGAATTTCTATTTTTAAAGCAGTAAAAAAAGATCTATTTTCCTAAAAGACAATCTAAGGAAGCAAATAAAAAATCTCCAAGAAGAACGTGGTTTCTCGGAGAGGCAAATAAGTAAAACATAGGGCCTTGTAATCTTCGTTGCCGTCTAATTCTCCTATCGTGCAGAGGAGAAAGTAAGAAAAGTTCGTGAAAAACTTTCCATGTTTGTTCGTGGATATGGGATTTTATTTTCTTGTGGTAGACACTTGAAACATGATATAGGAATTGGAAGAAGAAACGTGGTCTATGCCTTGATTGAAGTTGGAAGTATTTGGAGAACTTTATCAGTTTTGGTTAACGGAATTAGTTGAAAATATATAAATAGTTTCATCTCAAAATATTGCTGTACTATCAAATGGTATTGGTTCCTATTTTTGACTCGAAATGTGTAAAACCTAATTTTTAATCCCTGTAATTAACTGCAAATACAAAAAAAATTGGTTACCTTTTTATCAATTCGTATCGGTAGTTAATAACAAAAACAAATGTTGTCAAGCCAAAAATATGTAAGATTTACAAAACTGTGATTATTTAAATTCCTGTTAGCATATAGAAATTTAATTCGAATAATTTAATTAAATTTGGAATTCAGATCTGTAGCTTGTAGAAATTTAAAAAAAATTAACAGATAAAGGAAATAGCGTACAGAAATGGAAAACAAAAAATGATGTACAAAACTTATCTGTTTGCGCAATGTTAATGAGATCGAGTCCAATGCTATCAATCTAGATTGTTAAAATTGTTAAGGGAATTACTCACCTTCGAAAATAACAGCATATTTTCATCTTACCCAGTAAGATCCAAAAGAAAACGTAGTTATCCGCAGAAGAATAAATTGCCTTGCCCATAAATACAAATTGAAACTTTTACGTTCGAGAAATACTGCATTGTGTTCGAGAAATACTGCATGTAAATATCATCGAAGATGGGATACAATGGACCACAAATTTATTAATCATAAAATATCTTCTATTTCAATATAGTAGCTGAAACTCTTAGATGTCAAAAGCGAAACAACCAAACTTCATTCATAGTGCATTTATAAAATTACTTGAGAATGCAGATTTGCATGTGTAAAAATGACAAACAAAATCCCTTCCTTTTCAGAAGAAAATATTTATTTTTGTGTTTTATCCTGAAAACAAGAAACAAATGTGTAATCTCCCTCTAAATGGATAGAGTTTTATTTAAAAATCAGAGATTATCTTTTTGCCTAATTTTAAATTTTACGCTAACATGTTTCTCTTCCAATTTGAGGATCTCTGCTGAATGTAAATTAAAATATTCAAACATACAAGATAATCTGAATCTTTATAGCGTGTACTTCTTTTGCGCCTTGGGGGAAATTACGTAGAGTTTTTATGTTAACATTATGAACGCATAGTTTGATATACTGTGTAACACAAATTAGTTTTTTTTTTTTTTTTTTTTTTTTTTTTTATACTGTGAATTTTCTTTGCAAATATTGATAAACAGAAGATTTTCCTCTGACCAGGATTTTTATGTAGCAGTATATGTATGATGTTTCGTTGGTCTACTGTCGATTATTAATTAATATTTGCTTCCTCTCAAGTGTTTATTCGCTTTAATGTACTATGCATTACGTCAATTATAATCAAGTTACCTTTGAGCCATCGGATTCCTTTAATCGGATGACCTCCATAAGGGCATCTAATGATCAATTCCTCTCCTGAAATGGCAGTCACATTTGGCATGCGTCTTACAAATGGTGGGCCATAGATATTGAGTCGACTAGCATGATGGACAGACCCAACATCATTGCTCACGTGACATTGATATTCGCCACTGTCCTCCACTCGTGTTTCACTGATATTCAGGAAGCTAACCACATGTCCAAGCTCGCTGACGTAATCCCCAGCTGTGATACGGGGGCTCTGACCAATCACGGATCCGTCCAAATACCACGTGACTCGTGGAACTGGATTTCCTGTAGATATACATTTCAGGGATATCGCTTCTCCCGAATGGGCAGTGTGTTCGGGAAATACTGAGATTAGCGTTGGTGCTACATCTGAAATAAAGAACGAAGAATATTAAGTTAATTTTAGAAGAAATAATTAGGATATTAATTATGAAATGTATCACTTACCAATTTCTATACAGGACTAATCACCGTTCTTTTTAATTAGTAGAAAGAATTTTTAGGAGAAAATAAAAATGATGCCAGATTTTCCAGAAGAAACATATAACTGAAATCAACATGCATTTTATCCCAACATAAATAATTCCTAAAATAATTCTGGAAATTTTATATATAAATAAGTGGTACTGATAATCCTAAATTCAGAAAAATTTCCATGTTCAGATATTCATTTATTAAAATATTGTAAGAGAAAATACGGCTTTTTTTATTTCCTTTTTAATTTAATGATATATTATTCACTCGTAAGATTTCATATCTGGTGCCTTCATTTTATTACATGAATAGTTTGAGTCACAAACGAGGATGTTTTAGGCTCATGATGCCTTAAAACTCTTCAGAGTTTCTTCTTGAAGCTGAAATTCTGAATGACAGTTTTCTGAAAGAAGAAAAGGTGAGAAAAGAAAAATTGGAATAACACGAAACAGTGAAACATTATTACAATAATTTGGGACAACTCACGCAATTATACGCTACAAGTTTTGTAAGTTATAGTAATGCGAAATACAATAAAAATTTGCTTGCATGAAAAACAATATAATTGCTCAGTTGATTTTCACTAGTTTCTAATGCCTTATAACTTCATAAAGTCTCAATCATCTTCCCCACTTTCTTTCGTAAGTAGTTCATCAAATAGCTAAATAAAATAAAACCGCTCATAACCTTAAAAACAAACATACGTTTGTATTTAAAACATTTGAAATTTCATAATTACTTATATCTAATTTCACGTAATACAACTTTATACTTTTTATCAGTTTAGAAACAAAAACTCTACTATAAATTAAATATTGTTCTTAAGTTTTGATCTGTTATACTTGATAAAATATATTCAGTACATTATTATTAGAAAATATAACTTTTGTTTACATTTTCAAACATTACAAAAGAAAAAAACACGAAATGGGTCTGCAAACTGCTGGCATTATCCACATCAACAGGATACTTATTCTAATTTTACAAAGTTTCTGTTTTGACATGAATAAGAATTAATACTGATTCCATAATCTCTAAGTGTCTCAGTTGTAGAGCTATTCCGTACAAAAAACAATCAAATTTTCTTCACTCTTTTTATAAATGATAAGACAGAGGGTTAAATCTTAATTTGCAGCCAGAAAAAAAAATAAAAAAATGTAAAAGGTGCACCACCAAACTCTAGTTAATATTATTTTCACAATTCAAATTCGCATGCTCATCGCGCTGTTATTGGATATAACGTAAAGCTGTACGTATTTTCATGTAGTAAGTTATGTTTGTAGAAATTGCAAAACGATAAAGTAAAAAACAAGCTTAGACATCTTAAAACAGATAAATATAGCCCTTAGTAAACGGTAATTAAACGCTTATCATAGATACAAAGCAAATTTTATTTGCTATTATCATTTGTTTTCTGCATGCATTGTGTCAGGTGGTTTTTCTACATGTATTGTGTACGAATAAGGGGTGACACCTCCTTAACACCCAGGTACAGTTCTAACTTCCTTTCACTGTTTTTCAAATTTATGTGATGGTTCATCGAAATCCTGTCGTGTGAATTGCTTTGAAATAGGCTTAAAAGTGTCAGAGATATTTTTTTTAAGACTGATGATCTGTATCAGGATGGTAATCAATTTTGCAAAGCTTAGTTCTAAGTTGGAAGCCGTCTCGATGGCACAAAGTAAAAGAAAGGTCGTGTATATTCATAATCAGTAATATATTTAAATAACAAATTTTAATATGTATTAGTTTTATGCTAATATAGCAAAGCATTAATAATGCGTTATGTTATGGAATTTTTGCAACTAATAGTTAATATTAAAATGCTACTGATGTTTGAAAATTTTTTAAAATTTCATATTCCAATTCAATAATTTAGAAATAGATATGTTCTCCATTTAAACTGGTATTGCTACAATAAACTTTGAATTTCTAGATAAGAGAATCTTAGTGTCATGTACAGAATCATAAAAATACCTGCAGCAATATCTATGCAGTCTATTTGTTATTCTCCATACCATTTAGCTCCTGGAGTTTACTGTTGCTATGCAGAAAAAGACAAAACAAGTTACGGAGTCTTGTCCTTTTCGAAATTCCGTTCCAAATAGAGGCCTTCTACGATTTTCCGATGCAGTCAATGTTTATCTATTTTATAAAAGGGACCTCAGTTTGGCTTTGTGTTTACTTTCTAAAGTAGCACAATTCCAAAACAAGTATCCAACGCAATTTTCTATTCCTTCTTCTAGGCTTGAATTTAAAGAAACAGTTTCCGCTATTCTTCTTTTAATTCAATTTTTTTTTCTTGAAAATGCTTTCAGGGGAAGATTTCAATAGTCCTTATCGCACTGATTTTCAAGCATTTTTAATTTCCTGAAGTTGATGAATATCGTAAAAGCTTTTACTCACAAGCCTGTAATTTAGCCTCTATTTAGTAACTGTCCTAATAAAAAGTTAAACAAGATGTTTCGTTTTCTTATTTTACCTACCTACAAAAAGCAGAAAAATTTAAGAAAACTGTAAACTTATTTTCGCTTCAAAGTAATTTTCTGCTGCAATTTTCTCAGTCTCTTTGATGAATTCAAAAGATTTCTTCGACGTTTTTCATTCCATTTTTCTTATAAAATATATAAAAATACAAATTTGCCAGAGAGCGGCTTCTACTTATGCCTGGTATTTTAAATGAACACTTATTTAAGAAATGATAAAACACTGCTAATTCCCCCCCTCCTTAGTATATTTATCTAGAAGATCATAGCGAGTAACTTATTGCCTTCCAGATATCTTTCTGCATATGGAAATAAAAAGTCTAATATTTTCTGAAAGAATTACTGCATTTAACTTTCACATTAATAACCTGAATGAGAGGTTTTTAGGAAGGGATTTTCGAGGGGGGTTTCGTAACTTAAACATTATTAGCATTTTATTATCATTACTCTTGGTTTAAAAAAAAAGGCTACCCATATAAATTTATAAGAATAATAATTTTATACTTTTGCATTTTTTAGACTTTTCAAATTCGTTTATTTGATATACTTAAATCTTTATTGAAATTTATTAGAAGTTGTATAATTAGTAGTATTTGGGTAATTTTTATCTTTAAACTTATTTTTTTTTCGTTTGAATATTTGAAGTCTGATATTATTCCTTTCAAGACAGAAATTATTTATCTCAAATTAATTAAGTACACGTCCTTCTAGAAGAGATGAGTATTCATAAGATTTTTTTTAAGATATAAAAAAGTATAAAGAGCCTTGGGATTACAAAGATAATTTTGCACTGTAAATTAAAAAAAGAGTAATTAAATACCCCAAAGTCAATTTACTAAAAATATTCAGGATAGATTTTAGTTAATGCACGTACTTTGAGAGAATTTTGTAAATTTTTCGTATGAATAAAGACTTTTAATAACAAGCAGTAAAAAACACCGAAATTTTACCTAATTATGATGTCAAGAAAGATTTAAACTTCCCATTAATTGAAGAATTTATACTTCTGATATAATTGTCAGATACACAACGAGATAAATATATTTTATCATACCATATATTTTAATATTTCATTTATGCAACTAAGTTTGCTTTAATTTCCCGGAGACAGTGTTTTCTTTTTGTCTTCCCCTCCCCCCCTTCAATGGTGGAATTTAACGTTATAGGTGTTGGCCAGTACTAAGGTACTAAGGAAGCGGTGGTCGCTTTATTATGAAGGCACATAATAGGTGGGCAACCGTTGCCGCCTATGAAAGAACAGACAATTTAAATATATGTATTCTCCGAGATTCGAACCCGGGTCACTAACAGCTTTCTCATCTGTTACCTGAAATATGGAATACCAGGTCCAAAAATTAAGCTTAGCTTATAAAGATTCGTATGAATAAATAATAATCATCCTAAAATAATTAAATAAAGAGTGAAACGTTTCTGTTGAAACCATTGCTTACAGTGGTTTTAATAAGTAAATATCTTTTTCAAATTATTCCCTTTCTAGTGATTGCGTATTTTACAAAATCAATTAAGTTCTAACATTTCTTAGGACGTAAAATTCCGTTTAGTCCAAATTTCAGAGCTGCTTTAGTCATGGCTTTAGGTTTCCAATACTTCTATAACACATAAACTTCCGTGTTTCTGTGCTTTTCAAATGTCCGCAATAAGGAAATATTTAAATTAAATGGATTAAATATGGTTTATAGTATTTAATTCCAATAACTGATAAGTCATCTGAAATTATTCGCATAAATTGATCCATGAGGTCAAATAAATAGGAAAAATATATGAATTGCGGATGAATTAATTGCTACTTAGAATGATATATTCTTCATCTGAAATTTTAACATCAAGAAATTTTACACTTTTTTAAAACGAATCTATTTGAGTTGATATGGCATTTTAAATTTTCTACGACTTTCGATAAAAATGCAAATTTTACGGGCATAGTAAAGGACTGTTTTCTCCAAAACGCATCTTAAAATGGACTCAGAAATTAACATTTTTCGTGATGTCTTCATACATATATACATACATTCACACATGCATGTATGTATAAATGTATCTCGCATGACTCAAAAAAGATTAGACTATTTAATCACTCTTTGGATAACTCTTAAAGGATTAATTGTTTTAAAATTAATTAGGTTTTACATTAAATTGTATTTTCCCTTTTTGTTTTTAAAGAGTAAAATTTTAATTAAATTTCAAAAAACTTTTAATGCATTTTCCTTGACTAAAAAATAAGTCTAAATTTTTCTTAAAATATTTAAAGTTTTTCTTTTGGTTTCAAAATTATATTTACGTACAAGATTTTTGCCTTTGGAGCGATTAATTTCTTGATAAGGTTTTTTAGTTTCGCCAATGAAGCCAAGATGGCAAACCTGTACATACCATTATGTAACGCCTCAAAAA